TCTCTCCTTTTCGCTGAGCATTGTGGCACTCCTGTGAGGCCAGGTGTTCGCGCCGCCTGGGTTCCACGTTCTGGGGGTCACAGTTGCTTGTTGGTCGCTGCGGCTGGTGATATTCAGGCCTCTGACACGATCCTATCTTCCTCTCAAGATGGCGAGGTTTCCCTATCCAAGCCAGTAGGTAGCTCCGAGCAGGGACGTAGCCCACGTGGGTGCTTCCCTGTGAGGTGTACCTCTGTCAGCAGCCCCCCAGCAGTTTCTTCTGGTGTTCGCTGTCTTCCAGCTTGCTAATAAACACTCACAGCTCAAGACCATCAGTTGCTCTCTCTTTCTGCTTCAGGAGAGGGCTCAGAATCCACTCATCTATTCTTCAGCCATCTTCCCAACCCCAACTTCACTATTTATACTGTGTCTAGGAATTGAAGTTTCATTTAATGGAATTGGTCATTTATATTGGGAATGAAAGGTTGTTCCACCAAGAAGTAAATTTGCAGTAATTCCTGTATATGCCGTGGGTAAAACTGTACCACCACGACCTCTAATATAATGTATTAAAACTTTATAAAAATATGCCTCCATGTTCTGAGGGCTGGTTCCTCCCTCAAACCTCGCCCTCAAGGGAAACGGCTTGGGGAGGGCGCAGCCGTTGCCTCAGCGACCCAGGACTCAGTGCCTCCATGCTCCAAAATGCGCCATTTCCTCCCTCAAACTTCTTCTGTTCTTGACAGAAACTGTTTGGGGAGGGCACAACCATTGCCAAGGTGACCCCTGCATGACTGACTTCCTTCCAATTTGTTGAGCTTCTATTGTGAAAGGTGTTACCCAGGGTTTTTATATCAATACATAACTACCTTGAGAGCTCACATTCTCTTTTTTTTTTAACTTAATAAATCTTTATTGTTCAGATTATTATAATTGTTTCTCCTTTTTTCTCCCATAGCTCCCCTCCACTTAGTTCCCACCTCACCCTCTGTCCTTACTCCCCACCACTGTCTTTATCCATAGATGTATGATTTTTGTCCAGTCTCTTCCTGCACCCTCATCCCCTTTCCCCCTGAGAATTATGAGTCCACTCCCTTTCTATGCCTCTGATTCTATTATATTCACCAGTTTATTCTGTTCATCAGATTTTTAATTCACTTGGTTTTTAGGTTCACTTGTTGTAGATATTTATTTGTTGTTCCTAATTTTTATCTTTACTTTTTACTTCCTCTTCTTAAAGAATACCTTTCAGCATTTCATATAATACTAGTTTAGTGGTGACTTACTCCTTTAGCTTTTTCTGATCTGTGAAACTCTTTAGCTGACCTTCAATTCTGAATGTCAGCTTGGCTGGGTAGAGTACTCTTGTTTGTAGGTTCTTACTATTCATCACTTTGACTATTTCTTGCCACTCACGTCTGGCCTGCATAGTTTCTGTTGAGAAATCAGCTGACAATCATATGGGTAATCCCTTGTAGGTAATAAACTGTTTTTCTCTTGGTGCTTTTAAGATTCTCTCTGTCTTTTGCCATTGGCATTTTAATTATGATGTGTCTTGGTGTGGTCCTCTTTGGATTCCTTTTGTTTGGGGTTCTCTGTGCTTCCTGGGCTTGTAAGTCTTTCTTTCACCAGGTGGGGGAAGTTTCCAGTCATTATTTCTTCAAAAAGGTTTTTAGTATCTTGCTTTCTCTCTTTTTCTGGCACCCACATAATTCGGATGTTGGTATGCTTGAAGTTGTCCCAGAGGCTTCTTACACTATCTTCAAATTTTTGGATTATTTTTTCTTTTCTGGTTGAGTGTTTTATTCTTCTTTGTATTTCAAATCTTTGACTTGATTCTTGTGTTCTTCTAGTCTGCTGCTGGGTCTCTGTATAATATTTTTTTTATTTCAGTCAGTGTATGTTTAATTTCTAGTTTGTCCTTTTTCATATCCTCAAGGTTCTTGCTAAATTTACTTGCCTTTTCTAGACAATTCTTGAAAAAAAAAACCTTATAACCATGGTTTTGAACTCTATATCCAGTCATTTGTTTTCCTCCATTTCTTTTGTTTGTGTTCTCGTCTCCGCATTTTTGCTGCTTCCATTTTGTAGTTGGTAAGGTAGCTTTGTGTGCTAGGTGTCCTATATGGCCCAGTGGGTCAGCCTCCCCAGTTACCTGAGGTGGACAATCTTGGTGCACCCCTTTGTGGACTGTGTGTACAGCTTTGTTGTAGTTTAGTATTGGTTGTTGTTGATATTACAGGCCAATTGGCTGTGAGTATCAGCTGTATCTATGCCGGGAGACTTTCTGTGCTAAAGACAGCCTTATAGGACCAGACTTGCAAAATTGGAAAAAACCTCTGTACTCAGCTTGAATGGGGCAGAGTCTCAGGACTGAGCAAATAGTCTTGACTTCCCATCAGCCCTGCCTTATGAGACCTCTGGGTCAGTGTCCCTCGGTAATCACTGCAAGCACCTCTGAGAGAAAGCCGCCTTCAAGTTTCACCCACTGTCAGACAGTCCAGTTTCTCCCCCAATGAATCTGGATTCCCAGATTCTCACCCGGAACTGAAGTTTAGAGCATTCTGAAGCTTCCAATTCCCTCCAGCTAGAGAAAGCCTGCACACACTCAGCAGTCAGTCCTCTCTCTGAGCACTTGTGTGCGTGCCTCCAGACCTCTGCCTTTTGTAGCTCCAATGAGTTTCCACCTGACAGTCCAGATTCCCCCATAAGAGCATGTGTCCCCAGGGGCTTGCCCAGTACTGGGGTTCAGTGCAGTCAGGAGCTTCCAACTCACTCCTGGTAGGGAAAGCCAGAAGCACTCTCAGCAATCAGTCTTCACACGCGCACCTCCAAACCCCTTCCTGCTGCGGCTCCCCCAAGTCTCCGTGTGTCTTTCTTTCTACCTGAGAGTCCAGTCTTCCGCTCTCCCTCCTGCCCCCCCCCCCCGTAAGAGCCTGGGTTCACAAGGTTTCACCTGAAACTGCGCAGTCAGAAGTGCAGTTAGAAGCTTCCTTTTCCCCTCCCACCAGAAAAAGCCAGCCAGGCACTCAGCCACCCTTCCTCTGCGTTTGTGTCTGCATACCTCAGCCCCTTGCAGCTCCTCTATTTCTCCGTGAGCTTTTCTCTTTACTTCTAGTTGTAGAATTTCCACTCCACCAGCTTTCCTGTGGTTCTGAATGATGTCCATTCTGTCTTTTAGTTGTTTTGAAATTGTTGTGCGAGGCAGCAGTTTAGGTTTTTACCTATGCCGCCATCTTGGTTTCCTTAGGGTTGGCATTCTTATTTATCTTTACATTCAGTTCAGCAACCAACACAGTGCCATTCTCCCTCTCAGTGCCTGGTGCTGAGTGAACCCTGGCTCCTGGGACTCTCAGCTTATGTTACTAATTGGCACACACCCTGGTCTGAGGTTAGTTGGCAAAAGCCTCCCTGAGAGTCAGAGGACTGAAGAAACAAAACAGCTTAAGAATTTTTTTTTACAAAAGGAATTTAAAGCAACCAAATGGAGGAGATGTTATTTAGAGTAATTTTAGAATACAGGTAAGTGGGGGTAGTGGAAATAGGACATGATTAAATATAGCAAAAAATTTTTAACCTAAAAATTTGAAGGAAAAAAATAAAAAACTCAAAAACTGAAGAAAAGTAAATAAATAACAAGTTTCCTGGCATCAGAAGGTGGTAGGGTGAAAAGGGAACAAGGAGAAAAACAAAAAGAAAGTTCAAAGTTTAGACTTCTTGATAGCATCTGTAAGGAAAAAACTGTTTCTATGGCCCACAGACGGAACACACGGTGGACACAGGAGAAGACAGGGAGTTGGGAAGGGAAGTTGCTGGCTGGGACTGGGATGAACAATATATTAGATCTGCCTCTCTTTTTCTCTCATAAATGAGCAAAACTGTCATGTCAGGGAGCCTGTAGAACCTGCCAGCATTATAGGCACAATGGCTCCCTGGAGCCCATAGAGCAGGAAAGATTCCATTATCTATAATAATAAAAGTGTAATATGCTAATTAGACCAGACAACTGAACAATTTTCTGGACGTCGTTCTGGACAACCTTGCAGACAAAGCCACAGCTGTGAAGGCCGAGGTAAGCCACCATGGCTGTGAGAGCTGAGCTCCTTGCACAAATTTCGTGCATTAGGTCTCTAATCCTAATATACTAAAACCCTGAGTCCATCACATCCACAACAACCAACCAAAAGTCAGTCCTGCAGTCAGCGCTGGGTTGCCATGGCAATCCAGCACTGACTGTTACAGCTGCAGGCACCATGACCCAGCACTGACTGTTAAGGGGACTACAAATCAGGCCTGGAAAGAGGCAGGAAGAGAGAATCAGGGTCTGATCTGTAGCCTCTGTGGAAGCTGTTGATCAGGACTTGCCTCTTTCTTTCTTTCTGGCCCTGATCAGCAGCCACACCTCCATTTTTCTCCAGGCCTCCACTGGGGCTGCTGATCAGCCCCATCTTTCTAATCAGGACCCATTGATAGGCCAAGAGATGCTGACTGGCATAGAAACTGACCAATCAGATCCAAATTGGCAGGCAGAGGAGGGCAGTTGGGAGCAAGATCAGGCCAGCAGGGGAGGGCAGTTGGGGGCAACCAGGCTGGCAGGGGAGGGCAGTTAGGGACGATCAAGCAGGCAGGTAGAGGCAGTTGGGGGAAATCAGGCAGGCAGGCAGGCAAAGAGGTTAGGGATAATCAAGCAGGCAGGCAGAAGGGTTGAGGCAATCAGGCAGGCAGGCAGATGAGCAGTTAGGAGCCAGCGGTCCCAGATTGTGAGAGGGATGTCCAACTGCCAGTTCAGGCTCGATCCCACAGGATTCCCTATTAGAGAGGGTACAACAGATTGGGCTGAGGAATACCCTGCTCCAGCACGAATTTTGTGCACTGGGCCACTAGTATTTTAATAAGGCAGAAAGTAGGCTTACTTTCATCTCTCTTAACAAAACAAAACTTCTTAATCCAAAAACTTGAAACCACCCAAACAGATATTCACTGTGATATGAACCCTGCAACAGAAGACTTATCACACTTACTTGTTCCACGTAATAAAAGTTGCTCTCTGTGTTGAAATGCCAAGGCCAACAATTTGATTCATCTCTATTCCTGCAGCTGAAAATAAAGATGGATAAATCACATGTTTAAAAGTCAATGAAATTTTTCTTTATAAATTATAATATGGAAAAATTATTAAGTATAATCTCTAGGAAAAACATCTAGGGTTAGCATTTTTTTTCCTTTTTATTGTTTCAATATTATTTTGTATTCATTACAGCATAGTAGTTAGGCAATCATATACTTTACAAAGTGTACCCCTGATATTTCCAGTGCCTAACTGGCATTTAAATTTTAAAAAAAATTTTTTTTTAGAGAAGAAGGGAGAGAGAGAAACGTCAATTTGTGAGAGAAACATTGATTGGCTGCCTCCCGTATGAATCCCAACTAAAGATTGAACCTGCAATCAAAGCATGTGCCCTAACCAGGAATTGAACACTGAACCTTTCAGTGTATGGGACAACATTCTAACCAACTGAGCCACCTACCCAGGGCCCTATATGCCATTCTAATAACACATTTGGCATTAATAAAGACAGTATTACTAAGATGATTCCTTTAAGGGAAAATGGCTTGATAATACTAAAATATTGGATCTCAATTTAAGCAATGATTAATCATAATAGAAGTTGGTAAGTGGCAATAAAGGAAAATCCCCAATGAAACTCAGTTCTTATATTCCACATGAATAGATGCTAGGATGTAAACAAGAACATAGGGTGGGGGGGGTCCAAATTTCTTAAAATATAGCAAATTTTTTGTGAAGTTCATTTAAAAAAGCATTTATCCCATTGAGCAAATTAAAGACAACTTCAACTTGAGCAGAGAAAGACAAATCATCCTCTAAACAATACGCCTCCCAAAAATACTTAACCTAAATCATGTGGATGTAATCAGACAACTCCAAAATGCAAGTCTATTAAGCTGATCTGTAAGTTTGAAAACTTGTCAATGCCACGAAGAACATGCTCTACAATAAAGGAGACTAAATTGATTGACAGCTAAATGCAATGCCTCATCTTCGATTAGATTCTGGATTGAAAACCAAAGTTATTTATGACTGAGGTAACAGGGAAATACTGAAGTTTAAGAGGCATTAGAAAATAATACTGTTGTGGACTGAGAAGGAAGATACCCAATAAGAAGGGCTCCTGATGGCTAACTGGATTCAAATTTAAAACAACAGAACCTAGCAGCCATTTCTACATATGACCCTCTCATGCAAACTGCACTTTAGGGAGAATCCTGCACTAAGCTGCCTGCCTGCACTGTGTTCCTGCCAGTTGACCAGTCTCCTTCTCAAGGAGTTCCTGGAATCCTACTTCAACTAATGGAACTAAGGCTTTCCCCATTCAATTGGAGCTGCACAACTAAATCCCCATCAACAGCTTCACTGACCAATTGACCAATCAGAGCAGTTCCATTCTGACCAATCAGGTAAATGCCTTTTGGACCAATCAAGCTGTGAAGATTTGAGGTCCTTATTTGCATGAAGACAGACCAATTCGCGACCAGGGGGCAGAGACATCTGTCTATATGTCAGCTCCCCTCTGGCTCTGGGAGCCCACTTTCTTCCCTTTCCATGAGGGACTAAGAGCTGTGTTTCCACTGCTGAGCTGATACACTGAAAATGTCTCTAGAGCAGAGCGGAACAGTGCAGAAGAAAGCAGTCTAGCTCAGAGCAGAGCTGACTATCCAGAAAGGAGCCTGGTACCAGGGCCACCTGACCCAGGACTGCCTCACTCCCATGCTGTTTTCACAGCCCTGCTGGATCGCAATTGCGCTATTTGCACTAAATAAAGTTTCCTTCCTACAGTATCCCAAAATGGGGATTCCTGTTGGTGTCAAATTGGTGTAACTGTCCATCAGTTGACACCATATTAATGTTAAATTTCCTGGCTGTGTTGATATAGGAGAATACTACTTTTCTTTGGAAATAATGCTGAAGTATTTAGGGATAAGGTTAAGGCAAACCAACCCTCAAATGAATCAGCTAAAAAGATTGTAGAGGATAAATACAGTAAACATTGCAAAAAATGTCTGAATCTCTACAGGTGTCCAGTGTACTATTTGCGCAAAATTTTTAAGTTTTGAAATATTTCAAACCAAAAAGGTGCAAAGTAATTCAGCCAGAAAAATAAAGTAAAAGACTTTTCTGGATTTACATTTACAAGTCATATTTCATATGTTCTTTTTAAGAGTGGCACTGAAAACATTCTTAAAGAACTAAGATTTTGGACCATGGCAGCAGCCAGGAAAGCACTTTGAATGGAGAGGCCACACAGAAAAATCAAAACATATTTTATAATAGTTACTCAGTGTAACTCCTGATAGCAGGAACTGTGTGTTATAATTTTGTTTATAACCCTCTGGCATTTTTTACACAACAGGAAATCAAATAGGCACCAAACGCAACTGGAATAAAGATGGAATGTGAGCCTTTAAACTATGGCTGAGAAAACTTAAACCAGAGGGCAGAGTTGCTGTTTCCATTCCTTGAAAAAGCAGTTCACTATAAACTGCAATGTCTTCTAAAAAATACTGGAAAGTGCTATGGAAAAAAACACACAGCAGAATGGAGTTGGTATTGTCAAGAGAGCAATCTAAAATAGAGCCAGAAGGCTTCCAGGAAGCTAAGCTAGCTCACACTCACCAGGTGAAACTGAACTTTTGAGCTGAGGTAACCCAAAGGCTACATCCTGGCTTTACATCACTGAACTCCCTGTTAAAAAATAAACTTTTCGGAGATCCAGGATGGCTGCTACATAGTTTGAGAGTGAGAGAACGAAAGGGAGTGCGTGGATGTGCAGGGAGTGTCAGTATTTGTGTGTGAGGGACGCTCCAAGGAACTGTGCGGACCGGGCAGCCTCTATTGCGGCTGAAATCTCGCCCGGGCCCGCCAGCTCTGCCGCAGTAGCCACGCCATCTTGAAGGAGGCGGCTGTGATCGGAGACTGTGATTGGAACTCCAGCCTTACCTTCAAACAGGAGATCTTGGAGGCCACCCAGGGAACTTACAGCCACAACACCCAGGGACCAGTTACCTCAGCTGCGAATCCACAAATACAGGAACTCCAACCTCCCTGAGCGTGGGTGCCTGGGAGGTCTGCTCAGGGGCAAACACCAGCAAATTCACACACAGACCCTGCACCTTCTCACAGAGCAGAAGGAACAGCTGAATTAAAGAGCACCCACCGGGAACTGGCAAATTAAACACAGCAGGCACTGCCTAAAGGTAAGATTTGGGATCCAGACTAGAGGGAGAAACACGCAGTGGGAACAAGAGCCTCAAAGAAAGATTGCCCCCACAAAATTCTCAACTGTTGGGATCAGTGTAGCCCCGAATGTGGAAGGGGGTCCACAAGGCTGCTGGCATTAGGGGATTCTAGATATTAACCCACAGCTGGACTGGACCCAGAAAGGCAGCCTGAAGTACTGTACCAGCTGCACAGAGTTGCATACAAAGTCACACAGAGAATTGCATGCAGAGCCAGAGTAGAAAGGCCTTTTAGACCAGGATATTAAGACAGACACACTGCCACCCAGCGGCTGCAGCACAAATGGACTCGTGTGTAACTACAACTAAAAACAGACTGAGAACCAAAGAGAGCAGAGAGAGATCCTGCCTGCTTGAAAATAAGGTTGTCACTTACAACACCAGAGAATTTCAATATGCTGACTACCTGCAAGAAAAAAGATATGCCAAGCAGAACAATGGAAGAAGTGAACGACCTTCACTACTTCACATTTTTATTTTATTACTTTATTTGTTTTTTAATATATTTTATTGATTTTTTGCAGAGAGAAAGAGAGGGATAGTTAGAAACATCAATGGGAGAGAAATATCGATCAGCTGCCTCTTGCACACCCCCTTCTGGAGATGTGCCCACAACCAAGGTACATGCCCTCGACCAGAATCGAACCCGGGACCTTTCAGTCCGCAGGCCAAAGCTCTATGCACTGAGCCAAACCAGTTTTGGCACATTTTTATTTTTTATCTTTTACTTAAGAAACTAATTTTTGTCTCACTCTATTTTACCTTATTTTTTATTTTATTTTTATTTTAACTAAAGTATTAATACTATTATTTTACCCTTTTTTTAAAAAAGTTTTTTGTTATTTTTATTTTATTTTGGGATTAGTGTTATATATTCTATTTTGATTTTTTCCTTTAGCATTATTTTACTCTATCTCAATTTTTCTTTTATGCCAATACTCTCTTCATCACTTTTCCCCTGTTCATCCTGATTCTCTTACCCTGTTCCTGCTTTATGTTCTCTAGGCCTTTTAGAAAACATGGAGTTGTTCCTTTGGCCACATACATGTGAATATACAAGAAAGATGATATTGTGGACATCCAGGGAATGGGCACTGTTCAAAAAAGAATAACCCACAAATGTTACCATGGCAAAACTGGAAAACTGGAAGGCTCTACAATGTCACCCAGCATGCAGTGGGCATTATTGTGAACAAGCAAGTTAAGGGCAATATTCTTGCAAAGAGAATTAATGTACGTATTGAGCATATTAAGCACTCTAAGAGCCGAGATAGCTTCCTGAAACGTGTGGAGGAAAATGATCAGAAAAAGAAAGAAGCCTAAGATAAAGGAACCTGGGTTCAATCGAAGCATCAGCCTGCTCCACCCAGAGAAGCACACTTTGTGAGAACCAATGGAAAGGAGCCTGAGCTGCTGGAACCCATTCCTTATGAATTCATGGCATAAGTGGAAAAATTAAAGACTTCTATGCTGATAATAAATAAACAAACAAACAAATAAATAAAAATGGTGGAGATCTCCAAAATGGCAGAAGAATAGAAGGACGGGTTCTGATCCTTGTCCCAAAGCAGAAAGAGAAAGCAACTGAGGGTCACACTGGGAGTGTTTCTCAGCAAGCTAAGGGACAGGCAAACTCCAGGAGAAGGCAAGAAACTACTGATTGGGTTCCCCTGACAGGGAATCACCCACACCGGGGCTGGGTCCCATCCTGGAGCTACCTACAGGCTTGGACAGGGAAATCTCACCATCTTTAAAGGAAAAGTGGATCTTGACAGAGGCCT